TTTTAGTTTCTAGAAAGAAGACACACGAAGTGATGTGTTTGCCGAGTGCAGCTGCGGGGGTGTCGTTGTGCAGGTTGAATCCGTTGAGGTTGCAGGTGGTGATGGAGACGGTAGAAGCGCCACCAAGAGTCGGTCGCCCAGCAAGCTTAGCTGTCCAGAGGTGTCGCCGTGTCCGTCCACAGCTCCTCCAGGTCTCCATGGATGAGGGCGTTCGTCAACGGATCAACCATTGGCTGTTTGGATGCCGCGATGTTGAGTGAGAACGACTGATCGAGCGTGACCATCTTGTCCATATCACGCGTCCATCCCGCATAAACGCTCGCAAGGTCGTGCAGGGCGGTGTCTGCTGCGGGATCGCCCACTGCCGATCCAGACAGGCACGATGTATAGAGACGTTGGATCAGCACCTTGGTTGAAGACCAGATTTGTTCCCCAAGGGTGGATCACATCAGTGCTTGGTGAAGCGTTGAGGATGAGAGGTTGCGAGAACTACCTCTAGCGTGAATCGAAATGACTGGGCCCGCCAGAGCTGCGTTGAGGGCCGCATCGCTTGTGTAGAATAGGGGGGCCATGTAAGCCAGCACTACTTCGGCGAGTGCGAAGATTTTGTCGGTGTCGGTGCATTGGACACGGCACTCGTCCCCAATGTCGTCCGTCGTGTAATCCTCAAGAGTAGACGACCCCGCGAGAGCAGCGAAGTCGGCTTGGAGGGACTGCAGCGAAAAGGCATGGTGGAATACGGTGCTGTAGAGCTGGCCAAATGGAAGAGCTGTCTCCCAGGCGACTCGCATCCAACGGCAAAGCCCTTGGAGGTGAACCAAGTGAAGCAGGAGGTCTATGAGCTTGCGGCCGAACCGGATTGCGTGGGTTGCAGGTATTGGTGGATCTTGTCTGCGTCGCCGTCCTCAATCAGCTCGGTGAGATTAAACGCAATCCTGGCATCGCCCACGATGTCAGAAGAGTCGATTGCAGCTCGCGTAGACGTTGTCTTCGCATCGAGGAGAGTAAACTCTTCGAGAATCGCGTCCAGAAATATTTCGACTCGGGTGACCGAGTGCCCCACAGGCTTTGTCCCACCAACGTACGTGTTGGCGGAAAATACCACTGGGGCGTCGGGAGCGGGTAGAATGGACGGGAAAAACACGCGTGCGTCGCCTATTGGTCGCCTGGGCTGGTGCGACCACGATATGTTCACGCAGAGCATCGAACATGTTGGGTGACGTCCACGGACGCGCAGTAGCAGCGGAATTCGGAGCGTGACGGGACGACGGCTGGCGGGGAACACTGACCCATGGGGTATGTTAGGGTGACTGGACACATTTGCGTTTGCTGTTGCCACTTGGGCGTCCGGTTTGACGCTGCGACGGGCTGGTGGGTTTCGAGATGCGCTATTCTTTTGCAGCAATATCCAAGTCGATTCGCTGGTAGCCCTTCTTGTGGCTGTACTACACTTTGCCATACATCCGGTAGTTCTGCCCCATGAAGATAATCTCATCGATGAGACGGCCGCCGCTCGTGAAAACTCGAGGAGCTACGTCCGAGTTGAAGAAGAGTCGGTAGCGCGAGCCTCTAGCACGAAACGTCTCCGACACTTGGGTGCACTGGCCCGAGATAGGAGGAGCGCCCAGAGCAGCCAGCACTTCCCAAAGGTAACGTTCCACAGGACGCTCGTGCACGAAATAGAGAACCTCTTTCACAGAGTTCCTAGGACACAAGTCCTCGGGCAACCGTTCCACTTCGGTCGTCTTGCACCGTGGCTACATCCGCTTCGCTCCCGTTGTCCACTCCGCCGACTTGTATGAATGCATGAAGTCCCACACGTTGGAGGTAGGTGGGGCGGACATGGTCGAAGAAGACGAAGCAGTTGGATGCTCCGTGCTCTCCGTGTCCGGAGTTACCGCAGATGCGATTGCCTCCAGTGGAGCTGCGGGGGTCGTCTTGTGGTTCCAAAGGGTCGCCGCGGAGAAGAAGGCGAGTGGATGAAGCGCGCGTCACGGGGGGCGTGCAGCAGGGTGCGTGGCAGCCGTAACTGGAGCGGAACCCGCGATCACCGGGGTGGGCATGGTGGCGGGAGGGTAGTCAATTGACTTGAACAGCAAGTGTGAACTTAATGGTGTACAACGGACTGCGCCGTTAGTCTAATGGTTAGGATTTCTCCCTTCCAAGGAGAAGGTCGGGGTTCAATTCCCCGACGGCGCACTCATTTTACCACGAGTGGCAGACCCAATTGTTTTTTTTCAGGTTTTAATATAAAACCCTATTGTTTGAGATCCAACAAAATCGGTATTTTTCGGATATTTCTTCGGTTTTACAGTGGTCGAACGCATAGACCGACCTTCCAGATAATTCATCACATTCCAGAGATCACAACCTCTTCGGTCCTTTTGCAGTGTATTTTATTCGTTTTGAAAATTATTGACTGTTAGAAGAATTACTCATCACCTTCGTAATTCTCAATACCATGCTCATACAATAAATTCATCACATCTTTTGCAACCACTCATGTGCGAGTTGATCGACGCTCACGAACACGTGATTGAATGATAGATAAGACTACTCTTGTGTCTAGAATACGTGTATTGCGGCTAGATCTATTCGCAGCAACTTTGGCAGCAGTCACAGTCTTATCGTGTTGATATTCAGACCATACTTCCTTTACAGCATGAAG